GCGCGAGGTCATGCGTTTCGATCTCAGGGTGAAGCAAGAACACGGAGTCGACACCAAGGTTCTGCTTGTCTTCCTGTGTGTATTGTCTGTGCGCTTTTTTGATCTATGTTGGCTTTTTTGCAGGTGTACTTCCGTCAAGTTAAGCATTGAGATGTACTACCCGCTTCGTCCGCTGACGGTTTTTGGGACATCTATCCCTCGCAGAATGGCGAGCTCAGGGTATCAAGCCGTGTATCACTTAGTGTTCCATAAGGGATTTGGGATGTTTCTCCCCGGTGTGGTTGCTTGGTGAGTAGGAGTAGGATGAGTATATATTGAGGCAAGGCATTGGTATGGCCTCAAGTGTTTGCATAGCATTCTTGGATCGTCCTCCTGATGAGTCTATGTGCGGGATAGACGAAATGCGTCGAGGGTTTGGCCGCAGGAAAGAGTTGTATGATCCGAATTTCTTTTCTATCTGTATGCGTAACGGAGTTGGTTTGCATGTGGCGCATCTTTCGTACTTCGTTCTCATACTGGGTCTGTCTTGCCGGACAGTCTTGTCTTTTCTTTTCTTTTCAGGGATTTCCTAATCTTGTTTTTTTTTATTATTATTTTATTTTATCATTTTTATTGTTATTATTATTACTATTATTATTATTATTATTTTCCAAAAGCAGCCGGGAACCGGGCCCGGCGTCCCTTAGATTTCAAAAAGTCAGGAAACGGGCCTGGCATCCCTCACAAAAGGTAGGTGGGCCTATCGAAGGGCGAGACATCACCGGTCAAGCCCTAAGATCAGACCAGTATGTTACTGCTAACCCTAAGATCCGTGAATCTTTTGTCTTTTTTTTTTTTTTTTTTTTTTTTTTTTTTTTTTTTTTTTTTTAAAACACCCCCTCCAGTGATAGTGGTGCTGGTAAGGGCAGACACCGCTAGCACCTTGGGAGAGGCTCCATCTATTGGCGGGGAGCATCATCTACTGGAAAATAGGTCCAATGTCCCATATATCAAATGAATTTGGAGTACATCAGAAAAATAAGGAGTGAAAAATTCCCGTCAGCATTGATTGCCCTAGAAGCTTGGGGATTGACTGAGCAGGAAGTTGGAAGAAGGAAGAGAACCTCTTCACCCTGAACCAGGCACCAGATACCTGCTGCAAAAACCTAGTTCCTCCCTTTCCCCACCTGCCCCTTTTACCTCCCAGGGCCACTGCTTGTTATACAGTAGTAAACATCCTATTACACCAAAACAGGCGGGCTGCTCTATGCCGGCCTGCCAGCCATTGAGCAGTTGTTGTAGTAAGCATCCCATTGCCCCAAAACAAAATGAGCTGCACAGATTTCTGCAGGCCTCTGCGGGCAGAACCCCCCCCCTTTTTTTCCCTTTTCTCCCC